CAGTGTTAAGTACTCTATCTACCAGGAGGTTCAGCCAGGAAAAGGCAAACCACATTAGATTTTCAAGCAGTGATTTGGGGCCAACACATTAGACAACTGAAAGCTTAGGAAAGAATATTTAGGTAAACTAGAGACCATACCTACAGATGTGCTCATGTTGTCCTTCTGAGCTGATAAAAAGGATGAAGAGATTGGACTCTGAGAACTCTTAGGTTCTCAGCTCTGAGAAGAAATACTGGCCTCTCCCTCTAGATGAGGGAATGTCTTGTGGTTGGTAAGTTGATTGCCAGAGAACAACAGAGCTGGTACTGTTAGAGAGTGCTTGGGAAATTAAAGCTTGAGGTATTGAAAGAAGGGAGAGGTCTCGACTGTTTGCTACTTCTCAAATGTTAATGGATAAGTCCTCTCCTTTCTGTTCTGATTTTTCTTTAGTAACTCTCATTACAGAACCTAACAAAAAATGAGCCAGTCAAGGAGTCCGAAGAGCATATTGCAAAAAGTTCCAGCTCTGGTTATCAGAGAGAAGAAAGAGTAAACCAATGGGAACTTGACAGTGAAAGACAGCTGTAAAATATCATATGATTTTCTGACAGTGAGAAGCGATGTGAAGAAATACAATCTACATTGTGCCTCACATCAGAACTTATCAATTATTCATCCAAAATTATTTAAGGACTCCAGGCTCTTACAGAATTTACATTTCAATTTAGGAATATGCAATAAACATAATGAAGTATGAATTATATGATATTTTGGAAGGTTATAAATGATAGGAAAAGCCTTTCAAACAGGATGTAAGATGAAGAATAATTTCTATAAGAGATGACTGGGAATATGAAAATTTAAATAATGTAGTCATGATGGCTTTACTGGGGAAAGATTTGAAGAAAATGGAAGTTTGCATGCACTGTTTTGGTGGACACCACTTTAGCCAGAATCAACGATCAGTGTAAGCTTGGCACAGCTATGGAACAGGGAAAAGTCAATGTGGATGGATCCACTGATCCTGTGAAAGCACATGAGAGTGCAGCAGAATAAGGAAGTGAAATGAGAAGGGCCGTGTCTCAAAGGTCCACCTGGCCCATTGAAAGTATTTTGTTGTTAATCCGAGTGAAATGGGAATGTGTTAGAGGGACTAAAGTATAGGCTGAGACGATGTAATGCTCTTTCAAAAGAATTGCTGTGGTGACTTCACTGAGAATCAAATGCAAAGAAGAAATGTGGTGAAACTTTATAATAATTAGATAGGGGATAATTGTAAGTCACACAGGGTTTGTAGCATCCACACTGCATGAATCAGAACATTTGGTATGTTTTAAGCATGGGGAACTTATAAATATTGTATACAAATTGGGATTTCCTGGTGCCTTGGATGTGTGATAGGCTATAAATAAGGTCTTGTTTTCTTTTTCCTCTATTAGAGTTTTTATCTTTATTGTTTTAAATTATGTGTATGTGTGTATGTGCACATGAATGCTGGTGCCCATAGAGGTCAAAAGCATTGGATCCCACGGAACTGGAGTTGCAGGTGGTTGTGAGCTGCCCAGAAAACCTGGCATGAGCTCAGGTCCTCTGCAAGAGTAGTACAGTATCTTAATCATGGAGCCATTCTCCAGCCCCACTTTTGTGCTTTTTATGAGTTTGTAGGGGGTGGCAGGTTTGTGTTCAATTGCAGCTAAGAGATTAGATCAGGAAAAATGTCCCTGCAACTGCTAGGCCTGAACAGGCAGCGTGAGTCATCACTGGCCCTGACTTGGAACTGTTCCTGGACACTACTCCTGGATCTAGGCAGGAGTCATAAAGGCAGTCAGTAGAGCTTCCAAATAAATTTCAAAAGGTAATTCTCTTCTTTCGTTTCTTCATCTGTTATCATATGCAGTTTAACATTCTCATTGCTGGACCTAAATGTGACTATATTTAACTGCCTCTTTTTAATGAAGGGAATTTAGATTCATATGCTCCAAGTTCCTCTGTTATTAATTGGCTATTGCTCTTCACCTGTGCAGTTTTCCTGTACAAGTGGCCAGGTTAAGGGAGCAAAATCCAGGAATGCTTATATACAGCCCATGAGACCTTATGAGAACTCTGGAGACAGCCTTGAATCAGTGACTTTAGGATGAAGACACAGTGATATGAGAACTTAGGATCAGGACACACAGTGATATAGGCAAAAAAGACTTTTCTGTTCCCCTCCATGCACATAATCGTGATGATGTGTTAAATATCCTTATCTATTTGGCTCTGTCTTATTCATCTGTTAGTACATATCATCCTCATATTAACATTAATTAAAATTGTTATTTTCAGATTTTTATTGATTAGTTAAATGGGACTCAGAGCAGAGACTCACTTGTTCTAAGTGCCAGATATCTGTTAGTAGGCTTGGATTTAATTCTAGTCTTTTAGTTGGAAAGGTCTGGGGGCTATACTTCTAAAACATAGTGCTCTGCACTCAGCCACATACGCCCTGGCTGTATTCTAATCCCCTGCCCATGATCTCTACAAAGAATATTTTTGTAGGCTTTGCTAACTTTGCTTCTCACAAAACCTTCTTTTTTATTTTCTGAAACAAGGCAACTTAGGCAAACTATTTTCAGGAGGAAGAATAAGTATGAAGGTACAGTACAATTTGTCAGATGGTTGGCTGATTGTCTTTAGAATTTATAGGATATTTCATGATGATGTTTTAATAGACAAAAGAAAAATAATAGAGCTTTAAAGCTTTCATATTATTTTAATGCATTTAAATAACATAGAACTTAATTTTGCCACATATGAAAAAAATACAAGCTTATTCAATATACTCAGCATAATTATCACAACTTGAATTACTTTGTTCACTAGCTACAAATACATGAACTTCTTATGAATACGTGTTTTTAACTAATATGCATTAAACCAGGCATTTAGTGATGAGGCAATTAGAGCCCTAGTAGACATATTCTCAATTCTTGTTTGGCCTGATGGAAATTATTCCAGTCTTCTTATTCTGGATGGCCAGTGTCGTGCTTGACTTCCTTAACTTTTGGCACACTATCCGAGACAAATAAAACTCCCTATTGCTGTTACATGTTAAATTGTTGCCTTTGTAGTTGATGGAATAATTTACCAGACACTAATCAGAAGGTTTTTTGAGGAATTATACATGAAAGGAAATTCAACCCAAATTCTGAGCTGGCCAGCACATTTCACATTTACTCTGTATTTCTTAGGTTTGATACTAAGCCTCCTGGTATTTGGTGTGCAATGGCAAGGTGCTCGCTCTTTGAAGTTGGTCAGATTTCTGTTTAGAGGAGATTGCCAGACACTAGAAGATACTATGAATTTGATGCTGAGTTAGAAACGTCACCTTCCTGAGTCTGGAGGTGGAACAGTATAGCAGTTTTCTGAACTGCTAAATCATGTTATATTGGATTCTCCAGTAACTGTGTTTGCTTATTTTTTTCACGCAGGTAATTTCAAGCACTTTTTATAAATGTAAAATAATGAAAAGCAAAATGTTTATTTTTCATTTACCTTTTCTTTTAAGAAGAGAAAACTTTAGCTTGTAGCAAGCTTTTAATATTTAATAATTCCCTCAAAATATTTAAAATTTTTCTCATGCTAACTTTTAAAAAAATCTAGCATGTTTTAACCATCTTTCCAGGATTCTGAGTCAGTGCTTGTCTGCAACCAATGAAAAGGACTCAGCCTGAACTTTAACATCGAATACAGTTAGTTTTGCGGCAAAGTCATGTAACCTGTCGGCAGCAACAAAACACTGGCATGTTTAAAGTCAGCCGTGTTGGAGCTGAGTTCCATGTGTGCTATTCTGTGATTCTGTGTTGAAATTCAGAGAAAAATGGATTACTGTTAACTTCATTCATTTCCCCCCTTCTTTCTTTTTAAACTTAAAAAAATATGCCTGGTAAGCCTTGGTTTAAGTGCCATGAACTTTGAGTAAATGAAGTCAGTTTTCCTTAACAAATCTTACAAAGCTGCTTTATGGACCTTGGCTACAGCACTCACAAGAGAAGGGATGATATTTGGTAAGCAAAGCAACAACAAATGTCCTAAAAAAATCTAAACAGAAATAAAAATAACTGATTATGATAATATTTACCTCAGAAGTATCTTAGAAAATTTCATTTTCACTAATGGGTGTGAAGGCCAAGAGATCATTTTATCAGTGTGTTTTGGGGGTGACTGATGACATTGAATTTGAAGGCCAAACTTCACATTCGTATTCTAAATATGGTTCCATGTGCCTTGTACAACATAACACCAATCCCACATCATTAATAAATTTAAGGAGAAAATTATACATACTAGTTTTTTTTCTTGACACTTCTACATTGGATATGCACTTATACGTTTTAGGAATAAACATTTAAAAACTTTATATGCAATTATATACTTAATAAATTTGCTAGACTAAAACATGCACACAAGCTTTATAGACTTCATTGAGTGCTTTTGTGGTAACCCTGTGATGACCACCTGCTAGTTCAGATTTAATTTTTATTTCAATCCTTGAAGCTGTTACATTCATTTTTTGGTAGTATATGTCTGCATATTCCTATATACATCTAGTGGTCTGCTTCTTTATTGGAGCTATGATAAGAAATTCACCTCAAACACATATTGGTTTGTATTTTAGATATTTAACAATGTGTTACTTTGAGTATTTATAGTTTGGGCTCCAGAAGAGAAAGGATTGGAGATTAATGTCATGATAATCTACTATGATTTACGACTGGATAATTGCTTTTATCCTTCTTTTCAAAAATATATTTGGTTCTTATGTTTATGGAGCATAACAGTCAAGAAAAGTCAAGAAATTATTTTAGAGAGATAGTTTTAAAAACCTAATTGACTATTTGAAAGGAAAAGCTTATATGACTTTTTCATTCTCAGAAAGTTTATGATTTCATGAGCAGAAGTGACAGCAGCAGTAGTTCAAGAAAAGATGACTTATAAGGACTAGAATCTAGATGAAAAATGCTATACTTTTATGTGTTTTGTTTAGGTCTCAGAAATGTGCTTATATATGATATATGCAGTAATTGAAGCAGGAGAGAAGTGTAAGGGAAAATATCACAGTATGTTCCAATCACAAATTCTTTCTTGACCAGTGATGTACCACGGTACATTTTGTGTGATTTACCAATCACATATAGGGTTTTTCAACATTTTCTTTTTGTAACTCTTGCAATTTTTCCCTTAAGGATTTGCACTTGAAATATGCTGTGGTATTTTCTCCTAGTCTGTGCTCTTTTCTCCAGTGAGGGATTAGGAGGATACAGCAATAAAGTTGATTCCTGTGACTTTTTCCTGGGACTATGGGGGAAAGCGGCTGCTTTGGGGGCTGGCAGCCACTGCTGCTGGCTCAATACTTCAAATTCTTTTCTACGGCCATGAAGCAAGTTACAGAAGCAAATATGAATCTCTCCTCCTGAACTAAAGACATTTTTAGTGTTTTACAATCTACTTAATTTTTAAAGCTTTATGAAAAGTAAAATAAAGAGGCTAACAGGACGTATCTCTGTCCTTTAAGATCCCACATTTGACTACATCTTAGCTTTCCACTTTAAACACGTAGGGGTCAAAGCCAAATGATGTTTATTTTGTTTTGAAGTTATTTTCTCAGAAAAATAAGAGAATGGCATGTATATTTGCACAGTGATTTGACTACATTCCTTTTTCTGCTAAATGTCTTGGAGGAGATCTCTGAATGTTTTCATTCTACAAAATGAATTTCCTGGAGTGAAGACTTTCATTGCTTCCTATTCATTAAGTTTAATTTTCCATCACACTGGTGGAGAAATCAGTCATTTGCCCTTTCTGTTTTATAGCTCTCCATGCCTGTATAAACATGCTGTTTTATATAGATCATTATACTCTTCACTCACAGTGTTGTATTTTCAAGCCTCGTCAATCACTGGCAAAATCTATGTATTACTTGATGTCACAAAGCCATATTACAACTCTTAAGTGACAAACATGTGACACTTGGGACAGTTTTTTAGATTCGCATTTTAGTTTGTTACATATGGTAACTGAATTTTTAAAGAATAAACTTAGGACTCATTTTTCTTTGGGGGTGTTATTTATCGGTAGTATTTTTGTTACATTTGTGTTTCACTTTTCTCTGTTCAAGCACAGAATTATCCTGAGACAAAGTATCTACGACAGGACGGACAAAGTTAGGACAGGGACCTATGCTGGAGTCATGTCACGGTGGTCTCACAGCCATCAGGAAGCGGTTTAGGAATACTCATCCACGGAGGTATAGGGCGAGTTTATGAAGCTTGAAGTGGTGGAGGCAGATTTGGAATCCCTGCGTGAGTAGCCATTGGCCCTGGGCTGTCTGGGCGAGGCTCTCTTTTTGCGGCTGGACTTGGCTGGGTCCCTGTCGTTGGGGTCAAACAGCACAGTCACCGACTCCATCCTGCTCACCGTGTACAGGCTGCTCTGCCGGGTCGGGTGAAACCTGGTGGTCTTGAGCTCCAGCTCATCGTAGCTGGAGACTTGGATGAAAGGACACCAGCGAAAGGCTCTCTTGAAGCCAGCTCGGAATCTGAGAAGCAGGAAGGAAACGTCGTTTTCAAATGGTCGTTCACTTTAGCCGATCCCCCGAAAGCTTACTTAAGTTAAGACAGCGCTATTTTTTAACTCGACTTTCTACAGAGACTTTGAATCTGTGCTACCGTATCTGTTCTTTCAGGTCTTGTTTAAATAACATCTTCATTTCCCATCAATGAGAAGTAATTCATCAAAAAGAAAAAGCACACTAAGAGGCTATCAATATGCCAAAGAAGGAGTCTACTTGTCTGCAGTGATCTCATACATTAACATAACTAATTGCTGGAGGCTAGTGAGCTAAGGCAGTTAAAAATGGCATACTGTATTTCAAAATGACTTTTCCAGAAATAATTGTACATTTACAAATTAGTCTCATTTAATGTTAGAATTAATTGTTAATCTTTATGGTTTTATCTAATTATATATAAACATGTAAAAAAAACTTGTCTTTGTACATCATTAAATGAAGTTGATTCGAAGAAGATTTAGTGCTTGTAGGATGGCTTAAATTGAGATACAGCATATACAATTAGTTTAAAAGGAGTAAGAACTAGTGGGGTATTTAACAAACTTAAGGCGCAGGGTCTCTTGTGTCTTCTCAAACTGGGAAGTTTAGATTGTGCAGTTACTAATATAAAGACCTATTTCTACTGGTGCATAAAATCAAAGGGAATTTAACTTTACTCCCCCATGTTCAACACGCCAAGAAGGTGTTTTTTTTTTGTTTGTTTTTTTTTTTTTAATTTGAAGGTCACAGTTAACTTTTTTTTTATGGTCTTAAATTTGATTTTAAATGTTCCTATTTTTTTCTTTTGTTGACACAAGATCTTGCTGTGTAGTCCAGTCTGTCCTGAAACTGACAATCCTTCTGCCTGTCTCCAGGCTGCTGGGATTATAGGCCTGTGCCACAATACCTGTACAAATGACCTCACTTTTAAAATACTTTTATAAGTATGTAACCCCTCCCCAAATTTTCCACAAACTATCCCCCAGGAAGTTGCACCCTCTACACTCATCCCTGAATGTTTATGTTCTCTCTCCTCTCTATATTTTAAATTAGCACCAGGAAACTGGAATGATGTGCATCCAGGGGCTATGGGAGTGATAAGAAAGTTGTGCTGCTTTTACCGTTTATTCAAACAGCAGTAGATGATGGGGTTGTACATGGTAGAGCTCATTGCCAGCCAAAAGCTAGCCAGGTAGACCTGCTGGATGTATTTCCACCTATTTAACTGTTGGTAGATTGCAGTGAGAATGAAGTAGATATGATAGGGCAGCCAACAGATGGCAAATGTCACCACGACAATAATCATCATCTTTACGACCTGAAAAGAAAGAAGAAAGTCACTGAACAAATTAAAAAGCCAATACACAAAAATAGTTTCAATAGCTTACTGCAAATCATATTTTTGTCAATAGAGCTAAGTACCTAAAATATACAGCATACTTAAGGGATAGCCAATGTATTGAAGATGGTAAAGACTAATATATTCTTTAACTTTCTCTCTCTGTGTATATATACATATATATGCATATACATATGTTATATATATATACATTTATCTATTATAAATATCAAAGGGTATAATTGTGTCACCTTCCATCTCCATCAACTAATGGAAGGAACTAACACAAATAGAAATACATATGTTTATAATATATTTTAATTTGTCTGGAGTAGGTCTGGGGATGTAGTTCAATGGTAGTGTGCTTACATAGCATGCACAAGACCCTCTTTCACTTCTCTGCAACGCCCCCCCCCACACATTGGGCTGGAGAAAGTATTAAAAAAGTCATGGAGTGGTTGGAAGAGGGAGGCAGGAGCTAGGTTAGATTGTGCTAGCCTGTACTTTGTAATAGTGAAAGTACTATAGGGAAATTAAGTCATTATATTATGGAGGTATATTATGCTGCAAGGGATGGGCTGGTTCTTCATTATTTGTTATAGACTGCCTATAGCTACAGACTGTTTAAATTTCTTAAATACCATGCTCACTAGGCAACTATACGAATATTATTATTTCTATTGTATTGAGAAAGCTTTCCCTGAATAGTGATTATGAATTCATAATATTCTCAGGAATTTCACTAACTTTGAATTATAATAAGCAGTTGACTTATAGAATTAATTTTCATTTGTGTTCTTGTGAGTTTGGTAACTACAGGTCATTTCTTTGATTCCATAATTTTGAAACTCAATATCCTAGAAGGTTCCATTTGAGTAAGATGCACTTTCCTCTAACCTGAAGTATTTGGTCCTGAGAGAGGCCCCTTAAGGTTTAGGAAGTCATAAATTGAAATGTTCCCTTCAGGAAGGTGAGGGAGGCTATCAGACTCAGGAAGCAAAGGAACCTCACAAGTATGGGATAGTTGATCTACAAGACCAGAGGGTCCCCTCTCGAAGGTTATAGAGGAAATAAATAACCACTGGAGAAGGGGTTCTCTGGTCTGATGAGCTGCCTGCAAATGACGCAGGGAGTTCTAGCCATGCGGGTTTCATGAGATGGCACCACTGATGCTGGGGTGGATTTGTCAGAGATGCAGCTGCCTTTGAGCCATTCCGGTTTCTGTAAGTAACCCCTCACTCATACTCCTGTAAGTGATGCCCATCAACTCCCTGGTTTGACAAGTTGGACCTTGGGTGTAATCATTACTTTAGTTGTTGGTTCCCTATGTGGGGTGAATCGAAGTTTGTGTGGTGTTTCCCCAGGAAGAATCTCACACAGCTGTAGCAACTTCTGTCTTTCCTCTACCTGACCTTGAATTCCTGAAAGGCAGAGAGAACTATGCACTTGGAGAAAAGAAGTAGACATAGACTGTATGTGTGATGAATGACAAGTGGAGTTTACACAAGGAAGTTTAATGGAAAGATGTTTTATGTGTCTCTAAATGAAATAATCTCTTCTACTGCATCCATAAGAAGGGTAGAGTCAAAGGTGTTACATGTGGTCCATCATGGCTTTGTTATGCAGGGAAATCAAAATAGCATTCTATCATTATCTCTTCTAATATTTCTTCTCATTAGCCAGTCAACCTAAATCTGTGCATACTTCTTTGGTAAGTTGGAAATAATAAAAGGGTCAGAATAATATATATCTATCAAGGTAATTTTGAGGCATAGCAGCAGTCCGATTAACACAACACAGAGAAAATCCTGATGTATGGCCCATGAGGCATCTTAGAAGGAGGAAAATACATTATTTATGAACTCCACTTGCTATTTGACTGTAAGTTGTGAATTTTGATGAGAATCGGCAAGGTTAAGAATCATGAGAGACATTATTCTAGAAATAGACAAAGCTTGAAATGGATCAACGTGGAAACCAATGCTTCCCTTAGGGCCTAAACACTGTACTGTGCAGGTGATTAGTATTGACCTGATGGGAAATTGTCCATCAGAGCAGAAAATCCAGGTCAATAGCTCAAAGAATGTTGTCATTGGCTACACCATGTAAAGTCACTTGATTCTTGTCAGTGTTCCTCAAGTTACATTTTTCTCTGAAGAACTCCATTTATTCAACATTGCGCATTATCAACAGGTTATTGGCTTTTAATTACACGTTAGGTAACTAATCATCAAAATATTTAACTGCTGCTTTCATAGACCAAGTTCGGGCCTTTACACTCAGACTCTTAAATATTCATTTTTTACTATATCTCAGTATAGTTACTATAATACAATACTGCTTGTATCTAGAAAACAACATCAGGAAATACAATGAGAGAGGAACAACTCCTTACTCTGATGCTTAGAGTATAATGAAAAAGATAAAATGTAAAATCTTTGTAAAAATGCATGTGACGATATAGTTATCAATGAAAGATAATCCTTATGAGAATACATAAGAACTCATAAAGAATAACTGAATGAAAGAAGTCAGTTGTTCTTTAAATTTAAAGCATATATACTTTACATATACAAATAAATAC